GCTGCTTCCACCCACCCTTCTGTGCTCTTAGTAAGAAGGCATTCAACTTCTCTTTTTTCATGTCTTACTCAGTAACAAACCTCGTGGGCCACCACAGGTACATTCATGGCCTGCATGGAGTTAACACCTAGTAGGGAGACTGTACTAATTCACAAGGAATCAGAGTTGGGGATGGTAGTGCGAGCCTGGGGACCCCAGGGAGCATCAGGGAGCATGCGTGTCCCTGATTGGTAGATCAGAGGAGGCATTAGCTTCCAACCCACAACTCTCCAAACATGAAAATTTAGTTTTTAAGTCAAGTTAGTTTCCAAAAAAAAGGAAAGGGAAAAAAAACCACCTTGCACAACTCTTACGCATCTAAACATTGCTTTAGAAAAAATAATTATATATTTTAACTGCTATAGTAATTTATTCCAGGGAAATTTTCTTTAATGGAACTTTGTTACCCTTCTTTTCTGAGCCAGAAACTCTGAGTGTATAGGACACATTGAATGTGTGCTATAAGATCAGAGGTTCGATCCTACTAGCTGCTCTATGGGAGAAAGATGAGGCTGTCTAGCGCCAAGGTTTACCATCTCAGAAACCCACAGAGGCAGATCTGCTCTATTCTATAGGATCACTGTGAGCCGAAGTCGACTCAGTGGCAGTGAGTGAGTGAGTGAGTGTATTTCATGAGAGCAGCTCATAATGATGATTGCATCAAAGTTAAGTAGGTTAGAAAGTGAATTTCATAACTTTCAGAGAGGGGAGGACAATCATCTCTAACATGATAATTGATCAATAGTCTCATAAAAACTTCCTTTGCACTGTTTTTGTTTGTCTGTTTGTTTTTAATATCAACAAGGCAGTGGATAGGAGGCAAGGCTGCTTATGTTTGGTTTCAAAACCACTGACATGCTTAGAGAAAAACACTAATGTCACCCTTGTCAGTGAGGTGTCCCAGGAATCCGCAGGATGAAATTGCCCTAAAGCTGCTCGGCACACAATTCTTCTGGCTGCCCTCTGTTCTGCCCTCAGTCTCATACTTGGGCTTCCGGTGGCGTTGGGCTACCCAGAGTTCACTGGGCGATCACAGAGATCAAATATCTTCAAGCCTCCAGGGACAGATAATTGCAAATTAATAAATCAGTGACCAAAGGGCTGCCTCAGCCTTCCAGGTGTGGTGAGTTTCTCAGGGCTTGGCCTTTCTGGTTCTGAACACACCACGTCCCTGGGCCTCCCAAGAAGGTCCAAACCAATCTCAGGAGAGATAGTGTGGTAGCTCAGGAGTCTTGTGGATGCTGGCAGACCTCCCTTCCACCCTCCTCTCAATGGCTCTGCACACTAACCACACATAGAGAGCACTTCCGTACCGATTTTACTGCACATTTCAAAACCTCTTTGAGATGGGTTTAAGTGAGATCTATTGGTATGGATCTTGCTCCTCCAGTTAATCTATCACAAATATTCCTTTGTTAATAACTCTTCAAGCTATTAGGTTTAATGGGAAAACTGCATAATTTTCCATACCATTTCCATAGAATCTTTGCCTATCAGTTTCTATGAATTATTTCCAAGCTGTCCCTTTTACGAGTAATTCTGTGATGTTAAAAAAAATAAATGAATCATTACCAGGGTTTCAGTTTATTTCTTCAGCACACTGTCCAAGGAGCTACTGGAGAGCTAACTGTCCTTGACTTAGAAATACCTGATTTTTAAAAGTTATATTAAGAGTTGAAATAGTTTGAGAGTTGGTGAGTCTGACAAAATCTAAATTGGTGATGATTTTTTCCTGGTTCATTAGTGGTATGGTCTAATTTTTCTGCATTAAAAAATGCTTTAGACATCATACCAGGGTTGTGCTTTGCACTGCCAACCAAAAGGTCATCAGTTTGAAACTAGCCCCTCCATGGGAGAAAGATGAGCCTTCTCCTCTCATGAGGACTTAGTCTGGAAACCTACAGGGGTAGTTTTACCCTTTCCTGAAGGGTTGCGATGATTCAGAATGGATGATAGTGAGGGTTTTTTGTTTTTTTGAAATA